TTGCGCCCAAGATGCTCTTGGCGCTGCTCTGCGGCATGACGACCGGCGCGGCCTTTATGAACGCGACGCTCCAGATCGTGCTCATCCTCGTCTTCCACATTTGCTTTCTCGTGCACCTCGAGCAGTGCCAGCCGTTCCAGACGCGCTTCTTGCAGCACTCGATGGCGCTCATCACGCTCGTCAAGATTGTGACGCTGATCCTCTCGATGTTTTTGATCTCGTCGATCGAAGGGCTGCCGCAGGGCTTCCACGACGTCGTGAGCAACATCATCGTCGCGCTCCAGCTCCTCGTGCTTGCCGCGCTCATGGTGCGCCAAGTCGTACTCCTCTACCAGCGCTGGCGCGCCGAGAAGATGCACGACGAGCAGCAGGCCGCGATGGAGTCGGCGCTCAAGCCACTCGATAGCCTCGAGACGCTCGCCGTCCTCCGCCGTCCGTCGATGGACACCAAGTCGACGTTGCAGCCGGCCAAGAGCGACGGCATCATGCGGTTGTAGCACATTTGGTCTAAGCACAGCCGACGACTCGAACTGCGATGCCATACTATTTATGCCCGTGTTGCGTTTTTTTGGATGACCCAGTTGGTGCTGCGGACCAAGCTACGGAATCGCCCGTTGCCAAGATCGTCAGGGTTGGGTCGTGGCATCCGGATAATACGCCGAGCACAGGCTGCCAGCTCATGCTCGTCCGGATAAACTATCGACGCCAACGGGCGTTTACCTTTGTCGTGTCGCTCGTTGCCGTCAGTCTCAAACACACCATGACGACGACGGACCTCGAGGCGCAGGCGCAACGTCCCCGCAAAAAGGTCGACGCGGAGAAGGCGCGGATGTGGAACAAGGCGTACAAGGCTGCGAACACGGAGGCGATTGCGGCCAAGAAGAAGGCGTACAAGGCTGCGAACAAGGAGAAGATTGCGGCCAAGGACAAGGCGTACAAGGCTGCGAACAAGGAGAAGATTGCGGCCAAGAAGAAGGCGTACAAGGCTGCCAACAAGGAGAAGATTGCGGCCAAGAAGAAGGTTCTATACGAGAAGAACCGTGAGCGAGAGCGAGAGCGGTCGAAGGAATACTACCAAGGACACAAGAAAATCCGCCAGGCCAACGCCAAGTCGTGGCACGCGGCGAATCGGGCATACAAAATCGCGCGTGACCGAGCTCGGTACACACTGTCCTGCGTTGGAACCGATTGGATTTACATACTGCTTTCTCCTAGTCGGGCGCGGAAGAAGGCGCTTGCGGCCGGGGAAACCCCACCGCCAATGCCCAAGCTCGTCGACTTTCGAACGCGGGCCTCTGGCAGCGTTGGCACCAAGCCGTCGACGGGTGCGGCCGCGCGCGAATCCGACCTCTCCGATGAAGACGACCACGTCCCTCACCCCTTGGCTGCCACCACCAAGAAGGTTGTCATGGTCAGCTTCACGGACGAGAATCCGTTCAACTTGCGCAAGCGTGGGCCTGAGCCGTGTTGCGACGAGTGTGCGCTCTTCCAGCCGAATGCGCTCACGTCGGCCACCAACACGGTGCTCTTGGCGGGCACGTACATGTGTACGTTCTGCCGCGACTGGACGTACTACCGTCTCCACCGCAAGCACAAGCGCACCCGCGCCGACGCGCGCCTCGACGCTCTCTCGGCTTAAGCTTTAAGCTTTTTGTTTTTGCACATGTAGCATAATAATGGAGAGTGCTTTGTAATTGATCTCGAATGGTTTGAGTGCGACCACGCCTTGTACGCGCATAGCTTGCACCGTGCTACGAGAACCGAGTCGTCTCTCGCATCCGAGTCACCGCTGCCTCTCTTGGCATGGGATCAAGCCCACGAAGCTCACTACTCCGACAACGACGGAGCCCTCGAGATCCGGGGCGCCGTCTCGGCAGAGTCTGTCGAGGCGCCCTTCGTTGTTGGCGGTGGCGCATGTGATCGTAAGGCACTGTGCTGCAATCAATATCGCAACGACTTAACTCTAACGACATGTGATCGCGAAGACTTGGGTGATTTGGCGGATCTCCCAGCACTCAGCAAGGTTGATGCCGCTAGCGACGTCCACCTGCGATGGCATTTTGGGAGAAATGAGCCCGTTTGAATAGCCAGATAACATTTTCGGCAGTCTCCTTGGCTCCCGTGCTCTGCACAACACATTTCAGTACTCTACAAGCGTATATCGCAGGTCCTTCATTCCCTGACCATAGACTGGGCAAACACGCAAGATCGTCCTAGGGGTAGGTCAGACGTAAAAGTCAACAAATGTCTCAACGCCGCACCAGGCGACGGTTCAAGCGAATATCTCAGTGCCGACGCGACCCGTCGTCCAATCATCTTGAACCAAGGAAAACAAGACAACGCTTGATAGCGCATGATATTGTGTTAATTTTTCCACGTGAGCGAAATACCGCGCTGGCGAAAGTAGCGCAAAATGTAGCGGTAGGCGCCAATCGGAAAGCCGATCGCGAGGCCCGACACAATGTAGAAGAGGTAGTCGACCTCTTGGAGATACGAGTTGAGGTTCATGCCAAACGCGCCAACAACAAACGTCGGCACGGTGATGAGCGTCGTCCAGAGCGTCAGCGTCAGGTTGAGTGTCATGAGGTAGTTGCGCTTGGCGTCGAGCTTGAGCATCGCGATGTTTTTCGTGTTGAGCATGTTTTCCAGCATGAGAGCCACGCGCGTTTGCGTGTCGTAGATATCCTATTTCAATGCATCGTCCAGATTTCGCCATGTGAAAAACTAGATAAACCTCCAAGTAGACTTCCAGGAGCGACTCGAGCTCTTCCGAATCAAAGCTAAAGAGGTCGTAGACGAGCGACGGGTCATCGTGCAGCTAGTTGGATGAGGCAACATGCATCTTGTC